AGATATATATATAGTTTTCAAACGTGCAGGGGCACCTTGACAGGGATTTGTGTGTCTTCATCTGTAGTAGTGGGGGTCTGGGAGGCTCCAGTGCTCGTCCAGTCTACACTCCGCCTGGAGGCCCGCTCCAGCACCTCAAGGCCCAGACTGGCAGAGCGCCGCAGAGAGGATTCCAGCCAGGCTTGGCTTGCCATGAAGAGGTCGAGATAAACTCAGGTGTCCTTCACCTGAGTGGAGGAACGAGCAGACAGACCTCAGCCTCTTTCCTTACGTACCCTTTACCTCACAGTACAAATATACTTGTCTTTTCAGCTTGAAAACAGCGCATGCGTGAAGACTAACTAGTAAAGCGGCACGTTTGTTACTTTAATTCGCTACTTACTTTATCTCCGTTGCCGACGCGAGCTCAACACCGAAAACCTCAAACAATCTCACGTCCCATTGCATACGTCACGTTCCAATTAACGTTTTCGACACGATAACGTCACACTGTTCCCTCGCGCCGTGTCAACAAACCCCCGAGTGAAGAGATGATTTGTGTCTGTGTTTACCTGTTGAACGCACGGATAACTGGACGGTTAGCGAGTAAACACAAATAAACACAGGAAACGGTGCTTCTTCAGTCTGCAGCTTGTAGCCCGTGGTGCTTTTCAAGTGACAGGACAGGAAATCCTGCATGTTAAGCCCCGCCCTAAACACTCAAGAGTCACGTGGAGAATGTTTTACTGGTCCTATGATTTGTAAGGAATTGTGATAGTCAATAGTCGCTCTCATAAGACCTTAGAGTATATCTTGAGAGTTATCACTTTTGAATAAAAATATATTTTTTTACTCGAATTCATTGTGGTCCCCTAAACACGCATCTCCAATCAGGAGTCTTTGCATATCCTCGATCAATTTGGATCTTCAGTGCTCCAAAATATTAAACAAAAAAAAAAAAAAAAAAAAAAAAATCTAGGAAATGGAAAACTATTTACTGGTTTAACTGTTAACCAGTGTTGAGGGGTCCCATATGAATCTCTCTCCATTCCTGTTGTCACTTTAACCAAGATGCATCGTCATCACTTTTCCGTGTTCCTATATTCACTTCACTGTCAAAGTGAGGACTTGTTTCAAACACCAAGTCCCGTTTTCAAACTTCACATTTTGAGGGCTGCAGTAACCCCGATGAGACCGGCTGGGTGTCTTGATCGAGGGAACCTGTAGTCATTGTTACAGGGCATACTTGACCCCAACAAGACAGTTGTACAAGTAAAAACTATTTTACAACATTGTGCTGATTTAAACCCTACTGTGAAGGATAACTAAATTTGGGCATGAGGCAATCTGAAAATACCAGCAACAAATATTGCAGACTTTTACAAAAGGACACAAGCTTCAAATGCAGCATGCATCATAACTGCCATATATGGAGGCATTTAAATTAAGACATGACAATCATGTAGTTCCATTTATACAGTTTATTTTTGCAAAAACACACTGAGAGGAACATTATGCCATCAGCACACAGGCTCCTCCCACTGCCTTGATCTTCTCCTCGGCCCGTCGGCTGAAGAACTTGGCCTTGACGATCACTGGCTGTTTGGGCAGCTTGCCTTTGCCCAGGACTTTGTAGTAGCCCTGCAAAAATATATATATATATATATTAAAAACACATTAGTGCAACCAGATAATCACAAAAACCAATTTGTCTGGCAAAATTCTTTCCCTAAATAGACAATAAAGCCCATAAAGTTATGGATCCACTGCTGTCTTCATGTCCAGCAGCACACTACTACCAGTGGCAAATCAAGCCCATGTTATGCCACAATATATGTACAACACCATATACAAAATACAGTTATAGGAAGACCAACACAGCACAAAGTATATTATGCAAATCTTCATCCAACGCAAATGCATTGGACTCAGTTATTATTCCTTTTATTGTAGCTTGCAACATTTAAGTACGGACTGAAATATACCAACAAGTATTACAGACAGGGGGAGAAAATTACAGCTTTGTCACTAAAGTAACACCGCAAAAAGTTTGTGCATGTTTCAATTCTTTAGAAAATCTTTCACTTTGTGTCAGTCATTCCTACATGTCTCTAAATGATAAGATTTTTGTCAAAGTGTGGATAAAATTTCAATGATTATTTCCCCCCCAGTTGTTAATTTGATATGACTGCGGCATCAGTGATATCAAGTAGTTTGTCACTGACCATGTGGCCGACTGGCCTACAAAGAGCCAGTCAGTGAATAGGACCAGTCTTCACTCTAAGAGGACTCTAGCACACCAAGACAATGAGTTGTGTCAAGGCGAGACTCTAGTCTCTACAGCAAAATACATCTCCACTGAACAAAGCTGACCTGGAAATAGACTTATTACGCGTCAGATGAGAACAGTGACATCAGTGCATCCAGTACAGAGAGGTGCGATATATGTGAAGTTTAGCTTCGATCAAGGACCAGGGAAATAGTAATTCATAGAAAGTGTAAAAAAACGAAAAGAAAAAAAAAAAAAAAAAACTTCGCAACCCCAAAGCTTTATTAACAAACTAATCTTTTATCTACCAACTGGTCACAAATACAAAGCGGTTAAAGACAGCTACCGTAACCACATTCCTTTACCTACTGTCTTTGAGCTATGCCGATACATAGTCTTTAAAAAACAACACAATGTTAGACCCCAACTGACCCTTCGCCTCCGTTTAGTGATGAGACAAAACAACCCGTCCGTTAACGACACCATTGGTCACTACTTACGGCGCGCACGGCATCGATGATGGGCGTGGGTCCGTCGGGCTTCTTGCCGTAGTTGAGCCTGGTCTGCTCGCTCACCAGCTGCCACAGCTTGTCCAGGTTGATGGTGGGGCAGTGGGTTGTGTTCCTCTTCAAATGGTAATGTCTCATACCCACCTTACCGAAGTACCCAGGATGGCTAAGGAGACACAGGGAGGACAGAGGAAAAAGGTCAATTGCCGGACTAGGACATAGGCTGGAAACATTTAAGCTGTTGTACAGGTTAAGACTTTGGCAAGTAATCAATCATTTTAATGGTGTTGCTCCTCTTATAAATCTCTCTAGACTTCAAAATTAACCAAAGACAGCTTAGAAATAAACATGTCACTTCGTCAAAGTGTGGATAAACTGTCTATGATTATTTCCCCCCAGCTATTAAAATTATGAGACTGCAGCATCAGCTATATCAAATAGTTTGTAACTGACCATGTGGGTGACTGGCCTACAAAAGAGCCAGTCGGTGAATAGGACCAGTCTTCACTATAAGAGGACTCTAGCACACCAAGACAACGAGTTACGTCAAGGTGAGACTCTAGTCTCTACAGCAAAATACATCTCTACTACCAACAAAACAGATACTGTCACACGAGGCAAAGAGGAAAACTATAAATAAAACATCAAGTGTGTAACATGTCAGAAAAACATTGCAGATCAACCTACTCATCTGCCTTTAAGATAGATATTTCCACAAACCCATAAGCTGAAACTTACCCGTGTCAGGGTGTTTGTAAACATGACCATGCATATTTAATTCAGAGGGTTAATACATTAACACGCTGTGTAGAAAACCTCAACACATAAGCAGCATCTCTTCATGTCATGCAGCACTTACTATTTGTCGAAGTTGATTCTGTGGTGATGCATACCACCAGCATTACCACGACCTCCAGGATGCTTCCTGTGCTTGCCTGTGGGGAGATGGACAAGTTAGAAGTGAACCATGTGTCACACACACAGTGAGACTATGGAGATCACCTTTAAACTCAGGTTAACGCTTACCAATGCGACCATGTCCGTGGCTGACGTGTCCTCGGAGCTTCCTAGTCTTGGTCTGCTTGGTGGGCTGTTAGGAAAAGATTTGGTGTCGATTAGAATAAACTACAGTGTCAACAATCGTGGTCATAGCCAGTATCTATCATAGCCAGTGGAGCTAGCTAGCTAGCTTAGCCAAATAACCTCTTACGTTACTTGGAGGTATCAACAGACTTTGTAGTCTGTCAACTTTGAACCGTCAACAGCAAATACTGCACACTAAAACATATATTCGCATGCAGTTTTTTCTTAAAACGAACAAAATCTTAGACCAATCTCTTAATAGCTGCTTTCATGCTGCCTAGCATCGTTGGAGGCTAATGCTAATTCAACTGCATCTACAGGTAGGCTGTTAACTCTCACAACATACAGCATAATGAACAATTAACATGTTACTCCCGGGAACTTTTACACATTAAACCGGGACTACCGCTGTTACATTAATTTAGACTACGGTAGTTTTGTGTACGCGGTTTAAGACATGCGAGTATAGAGAGAATATTCTTGCTGAATGATGCAGCTGAGGGCCGAAGAGAATCCCAGCTCTCAACACGGCAAACCGCTCACAAGATCCCATAATGGTACTAAATCACGGGACAAAACAGCCAGTAAATGACCGTAGGAGTTGGCTGCACCGTAAACCACCACCGAATGATAGTTTGCAGTAGGAATGACCAAGGATGGACATAGATTTAACTGTATTACAAAGCACAGGGATGCGTGAGAGCACCTACCATCTTGGAGGCTAGGAGAAAGAGGAACGGGATTTGTAAACCTCGCGGTTTTGTGCGAGATTTGGCTTCTGGCTACAAAAGTGCAAAATAAACACACAGCGACGCCTAGTGGTGGACGAAGGAAACGACTGTGAATTGTACACAAAACAGCCATCAGTGCTGATATGGAACTAAGTACATTTACTCAGGTACTGTACTTAAGAACAATTTTGAAGTACTTGTACTTTACCTAAGTATTTATGGTACTTTGCACGTTGTAATCCACCAATTAATAAGGATTATTATAGTATTTTTTAACAAAGTAAAATCAGAATTTAAAGCAATGCTTACACGTGCATCAATAATTATAATCCAATAAAATATAGTATATTCTTCTTAAATGCGCCATTCTGTGGACTAATTTTCCTTTTGGTACTTAATGTATATTTTAGTGCTCATACTTTTGTAATATATTTACAGTTCTTTTATTTAAAAACAATAAACGTATTTTTAAAAATATCTTTTGATATGTTTTTCACATTTGTTGAATTGCATTAGTTTGAGATTAGATTGAAACCTTTTATTCATAGGGTTAGGGTTATTTCATGGAAAGCTACGCCCCCTAAATAATACAGAAGTGGGAAGGAGCTGTTATTTCCAAATATTGGAAGAAGAAGTATTTAGAGCATTTATAGCATATGCTAATTTGCAATGCCGGTCCCTATGTGGGTCTTTAAGAGACAGAGAAATCAACGACAAAATACAAAACCTTAAATATATATTAAAAAAACACTGCACCACATGATTACACAGAGTCTGTCACTCATATTGGATCCATGTGAAAAACAGCCAGCTCATCCTCATCTCACATTTGCCACTTGGATTTCACAAAACAAAGACTTGTTTTGTGAAACATTTTATTTGTTTTCTTGTAGTCAAAATAAATGTAGACTGATAGAATAATCAGAGGACATTATAGAAAGCTAAAATGTATACATTAAACAAATATAAGTGTGCATATACAGTAAATACATGCATTTCTTAACAGTATGTCATGTATTGTGTACTGTATAGGCTTTTCTGTAGTAATGACAAGGCTAATTTTATTAAATTTAACATATTTTATTCTTCTCAAAGAAGAGAAAGAGGAGATATTGAACAACAAAATAAATCAGAAAAGAGCTCATTCTATTATATTTAATTTACATTTCTCAACTGATTGTAAACCTTTATTTTCAGTGCTGCTGAGTGTTTAAGTGTTAAACAAAATGCTCTGTCACAAATTTAAGTTTCTTGTACTTTATTTGAGTCTTTTTTTTTCATGCCACTCTTCAACTCTACTCGAAGGAAACTGTACTTTTTACTTTACTATAACTAATGAAAACAGAGCCACTAAACAAAATATTTCAGAACGTACTCCATCTCAATCAACTACAACAATAAAACACTCCTTTTAGAATAATGCATGAGTAATCGCAATTTTACGATATAATATATTATAGTATAAAAGTCACGGGACATTTTACTCATGGAGTACTTTGCGTTTTAATACTTTAAGTATACTTTCTTGGTTAACACGTTCAATGCAGGACTTTTACTTATAACAGCAGTATTTTACAGTGTGTAATTAGTACTTTTACTAATCTGAATATTTCCTCCACCATTGAACATTCAACGTGCACATTGAGGTCAATGGAGTAGAGTAAAGGTCTAGGAGCAAATAGATGAAAGTTGAAACATGAACGAGCTGATTTTTTTTTATCAGATGCATCAGACAAAGTTAAAGTTGATTTACATACAGTCTGTTATTCAAAGCTTGAGTCAACTTCACAGCCTGTGACTTGTCATTGGTCAGAATCCACTGGGAGTGAACTCTGTTTGTACCTCCAGCTGAAGAAAAGACAAACTGAACTGAGCCTCGACCGGATTCAACTTCCTCCAACCTGTGAGGGATCTTTTTCCTTCTCTTGTATTCTCTAATGGACGTACTTCATGTCATGTTTGATGCTCCATCGCTGTAGTTTTTCCTACATGCTTTATGCCTGGAATCCCTTGGTGGCCCCTGGGTGAACTATCCACCAATCACATCACCCGTGTCCCCCCTTGGTACTGGACAGCGGGGCCATCCCTCTCATCCTCAGCTCACACCTGGAGGCACACTCACCTGTCTCTCTGAAGCAGACATCTTGTTTTTTTCATTGCTTGTATTCACACTCAGGTAAGGCTTAATTATGATGACTTTAACCTTAAAGATGTAATTGTTTTTGTTGATAACTGTTTCGTACACAATGCTTATTTTTTGTGTTATCGTCACTCATTTGACTTGTTGATTTTATTTTTTTCTTGCACAAAAGAGCAGTTAAATTAATCTTAAAATGGTACGTCATCTGCTGTTTCTTTGGTGGGTTTCATGTTTGTTTGGATTATTTTGCCGTCAAACACTGGGCTCACAGGACATTTCAAACCAGCAGCTTCTTTGCGTGTTTTCAACCGTTTCTTCACCCCAAGAGGCCCCCGATCTTCCTGGAGATGGCTCACCGGCCTCACAGATGCCATGGCAACTTCCCCCAAAGGCGGGCCACCTTATTGCCACGGGCAGCCAAGTGTAGAGCGGGGCTGGCCCTGGAGGCCGAGTCATCTGAGACTGGTCCAAGTCCCACAACCACAGCAGAGGAGCCGAGCCTCCCGGCAGAACACGTAATGGCCCACAGACACAGACGGTGTTAAAGCTAAAGAGTTTAATGATCGAGCAGAGCCGTTATCACAACAGCTGGACAGTGTTGAGGAAGAGGGAGGACATTATCAAAGGGTTATTGATATTTAATTCAACTTTCATTTTGATGAGAAGACACTAAATCTCTATATATATTTTTTTATTAGCTTTGCAGTTGTGGATTCTGCGAGATGGAAAAGGAGTCAAACCAGTCCTGCAACAGAAAAACCAGAGCCGCCTCTCCTTCATCTGGACGACAACCTGGAAAAGCTGTGGCCGCTTTATTGAAGACAATAAGGTAAAATAAAGGACAGCAGGGGGAACACGCTCTCTAACAAACAAAATAAGAAAATGTATTTAGAGGAATATTTAGACATTTTGAGAAATACGCTGATTAGCTAAGAGGTAGATAAGAAGATGGTTACCACTTTAGCTTAAAGATTGGAAACAGGGGGACGCAGTTAACTGAACTCTGTCTTCAGGAACCTTCAAAGATTAATAATTAATATGTTGATTGCACACATATTTCTGAGTTCACATGATTTCTCAGCACATGATTTTGGGCTGCATACGGACGGTTTGCGCAGAACTTCACAGCCACGATGATGCAGAAAGTATAATTTGGACTTCCGTGTAATTTATAGTTTCTGCGTGACGTAAATGCTTGGCAGCGTAAATAGTTTTTGGACTGTATCTGCACATTTAAAAAAGACAATTTATGGTTTTAGATTTCCACAAAGTAACTTTATCTCAGGGAACCACAGTTTATCCATCTGCTCAGTACCTCTGGACAGTTCAGTCACTGTGTCGCTCTGATGTTTGCCAAGATACAGCTACAGAACATAACTCCCCATAATACCACAACTTCTTGTTTTTACCTTATTGTTATCTCCGTCAGGAGGATCATGCGATCGGTTCAAATTTGTGCGTGTGTCTGCGAGTGAATGAGAGAGTGAGTGAGCACCTCTGTGTCTGTCCACATGCTAATCTCACATTCTGCTGCAGCAAACTGCATAGTATTTCGGGTGGCTAGTTGTGGCTGCATGCTCAAGGACTTCTCGTGGTTGTGGTGACTCACACTTTCTTAGAACACCATTTCATGATGCAATTGACATCCTGCTGAGTCACCACTCAGCAGGATGAGTCCACCCCCCTCGAGTCCGGCATTTTGGTTGTTGCCATCTTTGTTTTTGCCGGTTGCCATCTTTGTTTTTTTACAACCAGTGATGTAAGTGACCATATGTGGACTGTGGAGGACTGACGTAGAGACGTCGTATACAGTTCTGGTAGCGGTAGCAACCTGTCAATCACAAGGTATCCACGACCTAAAGCATACTCTGCTTTATGGTCTATTTGACTCTAAATGGACCATAATTTACTAAATGAACATCATGCTGTATTGAAGAAGACTTGAAACTAGAGATTGAGACCATAAACTCATGTTTACAATGTTTACTGAGGTAATAAATCAAGAGAGAATTGGGTCGTTTTCTCAAAAGGTTGCTGCTTGGTGAATATGTGTATATCACAAAATGAGGACGTATTCCTTAATTGATATTATATTGTCCATGTTGGACGATACGTAGGATCAAATGAAAGAAATGTCCTGCTGGTGTCTTTCGAGACATAGCTCACTCCACACGGTGACACACTATCGTTCTACTTGTAGTAAGTCAACCAAGCCTTCATCTATTTCCACAGGATTCACCCAGAGGCCCAAAGGATTCTGGGTAACTCCTGCATCCCTGTAGTGAGCTTGGTGCGTCTGAACTTCCAGTTCATCTGCTTATCATCTCTGCAGCCTGTGGTTTCTCTGGTCCGACTGCCGAGCCAAACACAAGCCAAGCTCCACGATGACGCTTCTTGTTTGGATCGACCTCAACAGGTACAGAGATGATGGTCGACACACTTAAGTTTCACTTAAGATGAGCTCTCTTTTATGATCACCTTTGTCTCTGTCTGCAGAATGGAGTCAGTCATCATGAGGCAAACACTTCAGAGGTAACAGAAGTGTCGCCTCAGACTGATCGCAGCCAACCAGAAACCACCCCGGCCTCCTGGACTGAACCGTACTGTCCTGACCGCTCCCCCTCCGGAGAACCAGAGCGGGACTCGGGCTTCGACTGCGACTCTAATCCAGATCAGACCTACATCCTGTTCGACTCTGGGTCTGACGAGTGGGACCCGGATGGGAGAAGTGAATCGGAAACATTTTATTTGGATCCAGATCCAGAGCAGACCATGGTGATCGAACTGGATCCGGAACCGGAAGCGGATCAGGATGGATCCCTGGAGCTGGAAGATGAAGTCGAAACTAAATGTGAGGTAGTTCAAATGGACGAGAGTGAGGATGAAAGACCTGATCTCTGCCGCTCACAGGAGGAGGACGACTCATCCATGCAGAGACCCGGACCTGGATCGGGAGCCAAGGAGACGGAGAGTGAAGATTTTTGTGCCACGTGTCGGAACGGAGGAGATCTGCTCTGCTGCGACCTCTGCCCTAAAGTTTACCACTTGGCCTGTCACATACCTCCTCTCATCAGCTTCCCCCTGTACATACTATAGCACACTACTATGTATACCTCTATCACAAACAATGCTCTCACTGTGTGATTTAGGCTCTTTTTTTAAACTTGTGACACTTTATAGCGAAGCAATGTTTACTGATCAGTTCAACCAAAGATAGAGGATTGTTTTTAGAGGCTTGAAGAAGAAACAATTCAGTATTTCCCAATAAAAAGCAAACAAATACAATTAGAAAGCAGACTTCAAATTAAGTAATGCTTCCTCCAAATGCAGCACGTGTCATAAGAAATGACATGTTTTGGCTACACAGACAATACTTGACTTTATGATACATTTAATTTGTCGTTTTATGGGATTTGTTAACAATGATAAAAAAAAAAAAAAAAGTAAAATAATGGCATATTTTAAAAATACAGAGTATATCCCAGATGCATCGGTCCATGCAAAGAATGGGTGATGAACGTGAAGAAAATAGATTGTTTTAAATGTCTAAATCATGAAGTAACAGAGGTCCTGTGTGTCCTACAGAGGTGACTGGGTGTGTACGCTATGCAGAACTGACCAGGAGCCCGTGGCGACCTACGACTGTGAGAATAAGCACTCGTGTGGGGGAGTCAAAGCCCCGTACACACTGTCCAACCAGGACCAGAGGGTGAGCTGCAGGGTCCAATCACTTTGACCCTCATCACATATAAAGCATCTGTAAAACTATTCATTTCTTTACTTTGTTTCAAACACTGAAATAAAAGGACAATGCCATTCGAATCAACGTATAGGTGCATGGTCACAGTGGCGGCCATTTTTATGCGTACCGATGCCTTTTTCGACAGTTGTAGCGGGCTAACTTCCCCGATTACAACTTAATTAATGCTTCATCCTCTTCCATCTCTACACTTTACGACTCCACTTACATGTGTTGTCATCGTAGCAACTAACAACAATCACCCTTTTCTTTTGTACCTGTCAATTTTTTTTTTCTTACTAACAATAGTTGTTTCTCAGACTCTGATAAGGTATCCTCCCCGATGAACAGATGTTTGTTAGTGACTGTGTGTGTGTATGTGTGTATGTTTCCTGTGCAGAGGTGTGAGAAGCTGACTCTACTGTTGTACTGTCACACGCTCAGCGCACCGTTCCATGAACCCGTCAGCATCCTGGTCAGTCCAACAGATTTACATTAAAAACATGTCAATCTGATTGAAAAAAATCACATCAAATAAATTACCCTGACACCACTGAATAATCAGAGTACAAGTATACTATTTATGCCAATAAATCCCTCTAAATCCTGCACAATGTTCCTTCAAGAACACATCCTACACATGATTATATGACACCACTATTGGTTCAATATCAAAAATATATCTAAAAAAACAGAATGATGTAATTCAGTAACACATCCTTTAACCTGTGTTTACCAATGATAAAGAGGAGATCTACACCGCTGGCCTCATTTAAAACACCAAGTGATGGCAGCATGTAATGGTTAAGTCGAGAAAACACTGGCTTAATGTACTCTCCATGTAAAATGTTCCACTTACCTTTCATAACAAACCTTGATGTTGAAAATGAAAACAATCTCCACCACAATGATGTAATCTCTGTGAATGTGCTCCAGGCCCGAAACTACTACCAGATCATCAAGAGGCCCATCGACCTGTCGGTGATCCGCAGGAAACTGGACAAGAGCAACACTCTCCACTACTTCACTGCCGAACAGTTTGTCGATGACGTCCTGCTGATGTTCAAGAACTGCTCTATGTTCAATTACGTGGGTGGACTTCCCGCCTTAATCTAATTTCTAGCGTAATTGAATTATTTCTACAATAAGTTCCACATGTAGCCGAAAACTGGGCCACTTTTTCCATTTCTATATGAAGCGACGGAGGTTGTGTCCATCTGCCAGTTTATGCTGAACCTCAGGTGATATCTAACAAGAGCCATGCTAACAGCTTTGTGAGGCTGTTGACAAGACACAGTGCCACTTTGAGCTAAATGCTAATGTTCAGCAGAAACACGTTCATCATTTTAGATTAATGTGAAAGCAAGTTTGGTGGAAATAGAATAAGAGTAGAATTAATATAGCTTTGTGATTCTTAATCTCCGTTTGCTGTGCAGCCGGACTCAGAGGTGGCCCAGGCCGGTCGAAGCCTCGAGCTGTTTTTCGTGAGCCAACTGATGGAGATTTTTCCCGACCGGACGTTCCCGACGACCAGCCAGGACCGAACGGACAACGCTCGCCTCCGATGGCTCTGCAGGAAGAGGAGGGAGAACAGGAAGAGGAGATACGCGTTTAGTGGGAAGAAATACTACCTGTAACTAGTTTAAACAACAACAACAACAACAATCACATAGAAGATGACTTGTGACATTTCTGCTGTCTACCTGCCGGTCTACCGGATAAATACTAGATTTGTATTTCCATACACATGGATATATACACATGTCAGTCAAGTTCATGTGTCTAGCAGCAGTCCAACATTTACCCCTTTATTTATGGGTGTTATGCCCCAGCCTTGGGCAGCCCTTTGGGGCAAACAACACTCCACCACTGACCCAAATTAACCCCCAATTGCACCCTTTAAGACAATCAAATCCATGGGATTTAAACACACACACACACACACACACACACACACACACACACACACACACACACACACACGACAATACAAACTTGTATGCTGAGAGGCAGCACGACCAGCAGTCCCCACATCAGAGGCCTCTCTCTTCTGCTGCTGGCTCAGCAGCTTTTAAGCACTTCCTTCCCAGGCCAGGTGCACCCCGTTGAGCAATGCAGCACACCTGGTCAGAGCTGCTAGAGAGGGAAAAGAGACAACAGCACAGGGGACATTTAAAGCCGTTACAAGGGGCCCCAACCCTCCACCTGCTGTACTGAATATATGAAAGAACATGTCTTTCTTTCTGTCTAACAGCAGCCGCATGGTCACGTTTTACATGCTGATGAGTTGAGCTGTGAGATGAAGATGAAGAACTTCCTGGCTGGAAAATTACCACCAACTAATACGGACAAACATTGCTTTTGAAAACATGTTAATAATTTATAGACTGTATCTCACTGCAGCCTAAAGATACTGAATGAAATTCGAAAATATATTTCCCCCCACCAGGGGGTGTGTTTGTATCTTAGACTTTATCTTTTGAATTTACAGTGAAAGGTTTAAAATTACAGTGAGACTTTTAAAGCACAAAGTGTGTTTCCTTTTTTTCCATTTGAATGACCCTAATCTATTTTGCTACTTCCCTTTCCACTCTCCCCACTGGTTTCTGCACAGTCAGCAGATCTGAAGATCTTCAGGGTTTGTTTCATGTCGATTGTGTCGCTCAATCTTCCGCAGGAGGACAAATTGACCACAAATTGACCACAGAGCAAGACAATAAACTACATCAAATATGAAGCCAAAGTTTCATTTAGTCCTTCGTCTTTTTGTCCTGCAGTTCATTGTTCCTGAGTTTTGTGTCTTTATATCATTGTGTGAATTTAGATGGGTGGGCATGTCTGCTCGATATATATTCTCCATCAAAGAAGGCCTCTTTACACTGGCGTCACCCCGGGAGCCGCTGATGATGAACTCCATCATCCTGTCGGGGCAGCAATGTCTCAATGACCCCAATGACATCATGTGGAGCGACGTCATTAAAACACTGTGAAGGCTTCAGTAAAAAACTTCCCCTCATGAACTGAACATCATGACTGGTGGGGGCAGCTGAAGACAGAAACATGCACTCAGTTTGTTGATGTTATCCTGAATCTGCTGTAGTTTGTTTAGTTCATTTTACCCTGAATATAAAAGCCTAATTGTTAGCTTCAACATTTACTTAAGTACTGTACTTCTGTACAATTTTGGCTAGACTATATTCGTCAATATTCCCCCTTGTTTAACGCATAGTGTTCTTTCAAAATAAACTTCCATCTTCACAGGAAGTTAGGGTTAAGGCAACAAAATCCAATTAGTTCAGGCTTTGGAAAACCGTCCACTGAAGCCTCAGGAGGGTTTATGTTGGAGTCAGTTGAAGGCCCGATGAGTCGCATACAGACGCTAGAGGAGGGCCTCCATGCATTGATCTCCGATGCCGAGGGTCACTGAACCAAAACGTCGTATTTGACAAGTGAGAACGAGTTGGAAACTCCATTAATTTTATTCGACAGTAATAGTTACTGTATATACATAGTTTTGTGATGCAACAAGATAAAGTTGCTCTAACAAGAAAGCACTTTTTGATAAGTCACGCTGTATAAAGAGTTTATATTTAGCATTTTTTCATGTCTTTATTAATGTTTATCAAATTATTTAATGATTCTCTATAGATCATTTTTAAGCCATCTATAGAATAATGTTTGGGTTGCCAGGTTGTGGCATCAAATCCTCCATCATCAAACTTTCCTTGTCTTTTTTAGCGAGCTCTTTAATTCACCAGGATTAATCCTCCAAAAGACAGTTTGGATTCTGGACCAAAATCTATTTAAACAGGACATGAATACTCTTTTTGTTGTGGTGACATCAGTAGAAATCCTCACATCATATAACTTGCGTTAGATTCATTGTTTAAAGGACGACGTGTTGCTTTTCTCGTTCCCGTTTTCTTTGCGATCACCTCAAAATAAATGTACTCGCAAACATGTGCTGTCTGAGTTAATCCTGATGTGGATTCATCTCCTTTGTTTCTCCTGGACTCGGTGAAGTCCTCGGTGGTCTGCTCGTCATCTGATTGTGTTTTACAAACCATTATATTCTTTAGTGTTTCAGGACATTTTATTCTTCCAATAATCAGCTCAGCATAATTTGTCAAACAAGAACGAGCACTTGAGCCAGAGAGCTCATACTTCCAGTTTTAGATTTTATCAAAATGCTCTTCTGTGTAATTTAATCTATCAAGAAAGCTGCACTGTGAGTGCTTTTACTCCCTGAACCCAATAAAAGATTCTCAAATGGACAAAATCTCTTGCAACCACTGATAAAACCCACTCTGTCTCCATCCTTCTAACACTTTGATCTGCGTCTACATCCACTGGGATCTAAAAATTGTCAGAAACTGAATGAAGACGTACAGAGAAAGATGAGAGGAGGCTTTCAGGCGGCCAGCAGCCCTGTGGCTAACGTAAAGATAAAATGGGGTGAAATTGGTCGTGAGATGTGTTCAAAGGGAGCTTTATTCCCCTCTTGTGTCTTTTAAACCCACTTTATTCCGTCCAGTAAACCTCAGTCACATGTCTGCTCTCTCTCCTCTCTCTCTCTCTCTCTCTCTGTGTTGTAATGTGCAGATGTTTCATTTAAGAACATCAAAAGAAGATCTCATGCCAGCTCTCACTGTCTGAAGTTGAGTGAATCACACTAAAAGAGATAAGACCCACATGTAATGTTTAGACCAAACTCAAGAGCCTGCATTAGCCAAGATGGCTCCTGATATTTTTCATTCATCTTCACTTTGGAACAGTTGTTTGAGACGTATACTTCCTCCCAAAAGCTGCCTGCCAAGATTTGTTCGTACTCTTCGCGTTATTTAAGGTCACTCTGACTCGTTTCCTCTTACAGTGTTGATAAATTATTGGATTAATGCACTATTTTCTTGAATTATCAGTCATTTTCACGTCATAATTTCAACATCGCAGATGTGGAAACATGTCGAAAACTTCTCTTCTGATGCCCAAATTTGGAAAGCAATCTTCCCGACTTAGAAGAAGAAGAATAAGGGGAATGAAAGATGTCATACAATATTTTCTGCCTCTGCACTTCATCAATCCAGCCTGTCACACAGAGGACGCTGGTTCAGTACAGTAACGTGTTCAAGATGTTTGTGTGAATTTGTGAAGGGAAGCGAATGACTGCACCAGACCCAATGGGCATGGGACAGTGAGGGAAGATCATGAGCTTTGGATTTAAAAGGTGCAATTTCAAACATGAAAGTCACATTAACTCTGATTTCTTGGAACAATTACAGAGCGAGACCTCTGTCGGAAATGATCGATAGCTGCCATCTGCCAGTGCTGTTGTTTCTGTGAAAGTGGCTTACGATTAAGGCCACGTTTTCCATAAATCCTGTCATTTCCTGTTACAAAACCAAAGGTTTGGCTGTCTTGAAAAAGATAAACAGGGCTAATAGGGATCCCCCCCCCCCCTATGTTTTCACTCGTTACATCATTCTTCCATCAGCTGCTGGAAAAATGCAAAACCGAAAACTTTGCTTGTCAGCGTATTTACACTGAGCATTTTATTATTTTGTTTTGATAACATCCCTAAGTCGATCACTGAACTAAGTTACACTAGCTAATGGTTAAATTAAGCTAAGCTATAATCGTTAAGGTAAGCTAAAATGAACTAAACATTCATCCAATTTACATTGTCAATATATATTAGATATTTTCTTTTACACACTAATCATTTCTGTTTTAATATTTTGTCTCACTAAATCTCTCAAAGGCAAGTTAAACTACTCCAAAATAAGCCAAAACTAAATTACACAAGACGCACATGTAAATACAACGGATGATGATTACATTTTTTCTCCAAGAACTCCGTAAATTAAATACCAGGCATCGTTACCCATTGACATTCAGCAGCAGAAACCATACATTTTAAAAATGGCGTCTCCCTTTTGGCTCACAGCCACGAGGAAATCTCTTGTTCAACACAACCTTTCACATGTCGTACATACATAGACGATCTCGTTTTCACAGAATAAACAGAAACCTTCCAGATGGATTCCTGGTGCACAGACGTTATGTAATGATGTTGTGCCCTTTGATGTTCATTTGTTGAGGTTTCTTGTGCGTGTGTGTGTGTGTGAGTGAGTGTGTGTGTGTGTGAGTGCAGCTGCTGGGAATAACGTGTTTCTTGGTGTGTGTAGTTTTGTGGGCACATGACGTCGTCCCATGTGAAAGCCTCTCTACGGCCACGTGTTGATCGGCTCAGGAGAAATGGTCTTTTCCTCTCTGCCTGATTAAAAGCTGCCATGGATGGCTGGGCCAACACAGGAATTCAGTTCTCCCTGATTACAACAGGAGAAGTTCTAACGATGAGAAGCACGAGAGGAAAAGCGATTTTATTTGAATTCTTGTGTCGTTGGAGCATTTCCATTTTTTTTCTGCAGCCAATTGAGGTCATGAAGCTCAAGTGCTTCAGCATTCAAGGCTGATTAAAATATACTTTAGTGGTTTGAGATTAGGCTTAATTAGGGAAAACACATTTTCCCAAGATGCAATATCAATCGAGGTATCCTAAAAACATGATATCTGACAAAGAAGTTACTCCTCATTTGTCGTGCGTTTTTCTGCGAAAATCCAGCAACACGTGTCAGCTCGTTACATGCATACCGTCTTTTCAAAATAAACTTCCGTCTTCACAGGAAACTACTTAGTTAGGTTCAGGAAGAGATCCTGAAATACTTGGTTAGGGTTTTTGCGGACTTTTAAATTCCTGTTTTATGGTTTCATGGATTACATTGATAATATGGGAAATCTGTAGGTACAAATGCTGCATGACAACTGCCTGTATTAATCTCTCTTTATTCCAATGTTTCCATTCTATCTGATGAGCGAGTCAAAGAATTTAAGACACGTGTTTCTGTGATTTCAGTCCTCATCTGAACTCCCAAAACGTGGTACAAATTATTTTGCCTCGAATTGCAAGCTGACTTGCCGGGTATATGACTCCTAAACAGCCGAATGGAAAGAACATAATTTGGTAAACATTTCACAAGCCCATCCAGTCGGCATTCCAGCACTTTGGACGCACATAATGTGGTCAGGCTGTTTTACATTTCAGCTTTTGTTTAATAGTATTTAAAGAACCAACTCCATGATCCTAAGTCAACACGCAGAGAGCGGCTCGAACTCCAAAAAGGGAGGTCTTGAAACATTTCTTCATTCTGACATTGACTGACAGCTTTCTGGATGCAAAGACTAACATGTGGATTAATGTGCTGCATTTTTAAAAATGATAAAAGCCTTGTTTACATTTGTGATGTTTGAGGGAATAGGGCCAATCCTAAATGTTGGGGTATTCTTTCCAACCATTATAATCATAAAGAAACTGTAAACAGACTAAAACAACATCAAATTGAGGCTATAAACAGCGTTGTAATTATTTTTGTGAATTCCTGTTAACACCAAGACAAGTGCAACTAATTCAAGAAATCCCTCTCTGAAGGCGACATTGCATGCAAAACCGATCAAATGACGGCGGTTTGGAAATGCCCAACATACAGGAGGACAAAAATGTGGTTTAAGTCTAAAGAATATTCGTTTTGTTGGCGGACGTTAGCGCCTGTGAAATCTAAGCTACTGGAGGATGATTTATTGGCTGCATGCGTCACATTTTCTGTGGCAGCTGAAGCTCAAGGAAATGGATTGCTCATCTGAATCGATTCAGTTTGATGTCAGGACTATGACTGATGCTCCAATCAGTGATTTTATTGCTGGCCTTCTCATGGTTTCGCTTCTACACGGAAATCAAAGCCACAACTTTTACTATATTGCTTCAGTCTGGTGAGCTGTGACTGCACGGTTGATAAAGTAAGTAGCCAAAGTCATCAAAAGTTGTCCCAGATCATATCACTGCGCTTCCCCTCATGAGAACACAATGATCCCATTTCAATAAAGTGACTCTCTTTGAAGCCAGAATATTATAAACACTGGATTGGAGTGTGACGTTGCGAGGTCTTATCACATAGACGTCAACAATAACAACAATAACTTCAACACCTGAGGAAATAAAAATTCTGGTTTCTTGATCTTAACTGAATAGGAAGTCACAAGATATGGAAGCCCAATTCTGCCAGAAAAAAACCCATAAAGTTATGAATGATAAAAAATAGTCGTAATTATGGGAAATTAAGTTATAATAAGTAAGTGCAAAGTGCAAGAAGCTTGTGGTTTTGTTTAGGCTACAAGTTTAGATTGAATGTTTGATTAAACACGTGTCTTGCGCTTCAACTCATTGTTCACCTCAATATTTAACAAAGACCACAATCTTTCACAAAAAAAGTGCTTTGAGTGCCTAAACAACCACAAAAAGACATTAATCAAACTTCGGTTACAAATATTGCATTGCAGGAGCCAATATAGTCAACTTGCCATATATGTTCATTAAAAACGTTTATTATGTTGATAAAATGTAATTCAATTAAATTAAACAATTTTAATCTGACCTAGTAAATTTCATACTTTTGATAAGTGAATTACAATTTTGACCTATTATGACACAACTTTGACTCACTTTATAAAATGTGCAGAGCTTTGGTAGCATCAATGCGACAGAAGGCTTCATGTTTTAGTTGCAAGGAGTGGAGATTGTATTTGAAGTGGCCATATTGTAGGAAAATAAAATGAAATGTTGTCAGGAATCATTTTGCAGATACGTTCTGTAGGAACATGATGCAATTTGTTCGTTAAAAACATTTCCTTTTTACGTTGATAAAAAAGCGTTCAGGCAGTATTTTCTCTCTAAACTGTAATTTCTAAGAGAAATTACATTAAAGTGATTTATATTCTTGTAAATCATTCCTAACACTTCATCTATTTATTTTCCTGGTGCAAATGGTCTTCCATAACATTACAGTATGAAGAATAACACAAATGTCCATAGATGGCAGCCAGACTACAGTTACAGTGTTGGAGCGGCACAATCGGTTTAGTCAGCCGTGACCCTTGAGTAACCTCTCGGTAGGAGGGGGAAGAGGCAGAAAAGAGAGATATATGGGCACAAGAGAGGAAAGAAAGAAGAAAAACAGATGGATTGAGAGGGGAAAAAGAGGGGAGAGAGCGCTTTGTTGGAGACAGGAGAGAGAGAGAGAGAGAGAGAGAGTAAAAGAGCGCTTGGCACACAGACAGACCGAGAGAGAAGAGGAGGGCGCTTATCTCCCCTCCTCTTCTCTCACTCCAGCTTTAAAAAAAAAAAGAAAAGTGAAACAGCCCTTTGAAGAGACAGAGAGGGGGCAGTCCTGTACTCCCATCCAGCCTGGACTGTAAGGAACATTTAGTGTGCCGACGCTAACCCAGATACCAGACTCAACACAGAGAGCCAGCTGAGCAGCTGACAGAGAACAGGCATGAACGACATCAAGCTGGCCCTGCTGGGAAGCCAGGGGGCTGGGAAATCAGGTGAGTGGCTGGAGGTGATTTATATTTCAAACAGATGCAGAAAAAAAAGTTATATCGTCTCTGTACGGTGTCTGAGGCCATTTAAAAGTTATATTTGTTGCTTTCTTTTTGTCAAATAATGATGGTTTTTGGTGCAAAAATAATGAAGTGTTGTAATGTACTGTAACTAAGTACATCTACTCACGTAGGCTGCTACTTAAATACAATTTTGAGGTACTTGTGCTTTTGAGTGTTCTCCATTTTTATGCTACTTTATATTTTTACTGAACGTTTTACTCCACTTCATTTATTTGACATTAGTTACTAGTTAGCCAACTATGCATATTCAGATTATTCATTTGAAATATAAATCAACCAATAAATTATGATTCAAGCTACCCGGCATTACATAAAGTAGATGATGCCACAGGCCATTCTGCATAATGTATACTTTTACTTTTGATACTTCAAGTGTATTTTGATGCTTATACTTCTGTACTTTTACTCAAGTAAGAGTTTGAATACAGGACTTTTCGGGTATCGTGCCCTCCAGCTTTTCCGGTTCTATCCTACAAAGGTCCCAAGGGATCAATATCTTCATCCATAATAATACTTCACATTACATATATTTATTTGTTGATTATTTTCTATTATTGATCTGAATCTGCAAAGTAACTCAAACTATCAAATTAATTTACTAGAGTAAAGTACCTCAATATTGTACCTTAGTACAGTACTTAAGTAAATGTACTAAGTTACATCCCAACAATTTGTGGATTAATGTTTGGAGATAAAATGAGGCAACGCTGTTTGGAGCCAACGCTAACTCGCTTACTGACTTATTGTCTGGTATATCTAACTGCAAACTGTAGCTATTCATTCTTACATTTAAAACAGTAGTTTGACAAAAAGTGAAACAAGGTCCAAGTTGTACCAGTTTTTTCCAGAACGTATTTGTGGTCTAAATAATTTAGATTAGAAATCTTTAATAATTCCCAGTGGAGAAACTTTTTTACCATCAAATCAACTCAGACAACAAAAATTAGACATAGAAGCCGAAGCACGCGGCTGTCGTGCACTTACAGGAAATCGTTTGCGGTACCAAATCATTACAGACTGCCAAATTAACCCAATAAACAATACTGATTCAACTAAATAGTTGAATACATTTGTATAGTGCGGTGTGCAGTGGACAAACAGTAACCGCGACTGAAATATTCCCTTCAGCTACGTAGCCAAGATGGCGGCCATTAAGTGTCAAGCGTTCTACTCTTTTTGATCGTTTTGAGTACACCATCTGCATTTTGGCATAGCTTTTAATTTCACTGGCCTTTTTTCCGTGTTACATAACAAAAAAACCACACACAACACCAACAGGTTATTTGTTCCATTCATTGAGATTTAACTAAAATAATTAAGATTATTTATGCCTTAAGAGAATCCATGACCTTTGGTAAAATAAAACACATCTGTCAAAGAGCTGATTTCAAGGTTGGAAAAGGCGAAAACACAATGTACATTGAGGGTTTATCAGTCAGAGTCAGTGCAGTCTACCTTTAGGGAGCTCAAGTTCCCCGCCACTGACTTTGTTAAGTGTTGTAATTAACTACATCAAGCCTTTTACAGTTACAGTGCAATTTACTCTTAATATATGTAAAAGATCTGTATTTTGGGCTGAATAATCACATCTGCTTATTTTCCAAGACTTTGAACAATTCTTGTGACCATACCTTGAATCTACAAAGGTCAAACGACAGTGACAAATGCTGGTGAGGTGGTAGGAGGGGAGTCATAGGATCCTTGTTGTTGCAGTATTCAGTCTCTGTGGTGCTGGTAAAGGCAGACTGGCTCTACGATGTGTTCAAGCTTCATAAAACAATGGGACGTCTCCATTCTCACTGCCTGGCGGTGAAGCAGAGCTGTTACTGTGGAGATGCTGCAGCCTCTGGAGGGCTGTATGTGAATGTTTGTGTCCACTTAATAGGTTTTGCTGCTCTTTGCTGTTCTGCTTGTTGCTTTCAAAACACATTTATCATTGTTTTGTTGTCAAAAGAATTGTCCTTTGTGTTGAATTGTGCATGCATGAGTAACGTTTTAGGCCATATCCATATTTGTGTGTCCTCGTAGTCGTAGCAGAACCCCTGTATAAGCCCCTCAGAAGCCCATGACCACAGTCAGCAACTTGAAACTTCAGCCCATAACTGAAACTGATTGTCTGTGGGACCAAAAGCTAGTCAGTTTTAAATGTGGCTCGCAGTCTGGAGGCGAAGCAGAGGGGGTAAATATAACCATTCAGCCTGCCAAATATGCACACATGGCCTTGCAGCAGAGCCATACATCCTCTTTCATGTGAGGCTACAGTTTCACCGCTCCAATCCCAGAGACTGTTGGCCCCGTGCTGCGCCTGCGGGAGTGAATGAGGGTCATTTAACCCCCACTGCGGCCACCTGTGAGCGATGAGAGTGTAATGAGGCCGTGATTCATTTAGTTGTGTTTTCATTTCTTCTGTTTCCTCCAGCTGTCCTTGTGCGGTTCCTGACCAGGCGCTTCATCGGTGAATACGCCTCTAACGCCAGTAAGTGTTTCCAGATTCGATGAGGGGTTTTGGTTTCGGTCCTGGAGAACCGAGTTTATCTCCAGACACTCGATGCCTACATTTCACCTGAGCATTCATGAGATAAACAAACCAGGATACCTTTTATACGCAGCATAATTCAAAAATGATTACAGCTGTAAAAAGATAGAAATAGTAAATCCCAAACACCAATTTATTCTAGTGCACATCTATGTCTTTTTCATGGTTTCTCACATTTTGATCTAATTAAACCCGCATTTACCTCTTTTCTGCCACTTGGGGCAGTAGAGGAGGCTGTAAATAAAAACATTGACATATTACCACCTTATAAAGTTTGTGCTGGAGAAATGTATCATTCCGTTCTTCAGTTGTCTTGTATCACTAAACCTGCATATAATCTTAACCCTCTTCCCACGAAAAGGTTGGGAACGTGGCCTTGTTGGGTGCAGCAGAGGACTACATCTGCGAGAGGGGGGGGCGGTGAAGGGAGAGGAGACGAGATAACGTGCATATACCCTCTGTTTTGTCTGTTCATTGTTGTTAGACCTCTGGACCATCTGTGGGGAAAGAGCTCTATCCATTCAGCTGAATTTTTATTGAAGTGTCTGTTCATTAAATATGATTTTAATACTTTAAGAAGTTTCCATCGCGATTATTTCTCACAGGGAGGTTGAAAAGATTTTTTTCCACCACAGTTTGCATTAGCATTTATCTATTTTAATTCTAATATTTTATCATTTGTTTCACTCTCCACTCACTCCTGTCAATATTTTAATCGATGAATATTACTGTTATTTATTTTTTGACTGCTTCTAATCCTCGTTACAGATTCCCTGTACCACAAAAGGCTGTCAATCGATGGCAGGCAGCTAAATCTGGAAGTTTTTGACCCCTGCTCTCAGGTACAACACATCACTGACACAATTCATATCATTGACAGGATCCAGACCTTTGGATATTTTGCATAATAATAGAATAATAGAAAAGCAGAGCTGCAGTTGGACCTTGAAGTTTTCTGTTTTAAGTTCTTCCCTTCTTTTCACTCCAGCAACTAGTTTGACTTAAGATTATCATCACTTACAGTTTTGGCAACATAACTTTTAGTAAAAATGTTGATAAATCTTCAGTGTTGGGAGAAGACCTGCTGTCTCCAAATTGTCAGGGTGTCGAGAGAAGCTCTCCTATTTTCAGCATTATTTTCAAATGTTTCTTCAGCGTTTAAAAAAAGTTTTTAAAGCCCAAGTATTGTAAAAAAATTAATTCTCAATCCTTCAGTCGAGGTGAAGGTTAGTTTTGGAGCTACAAGCGTTTCCCATAAAAAGTGTCCGGTTTTCAGTCTGCACTACATCTCTGTGACCTTGAATGAGTCATGGTTATATACTGTCCTTGGGCCGGCACGTGTGCGATTCGTACAGTACTTAAAGTTAAATCCCAAAAGGTTTATGAGAGTATCCCCGAAGCCATGTGCGCCAGTGGCTGTCTCTTTGAAGAAAAGAGCCATATAACCCGGTTACTTCTCTTTCAGCCAGACCAAAGAGCTGAGAGGCCTTTTACTGCAGAGTTAGTATTTTATTGGAATACCCCTCGACTCGGCAGAACAAGTGCCATTGTCTTTGTCGGTTAAACTCACTGTAAGGCCGCCCTTTCATAAAGAAACAGTGACTCCATGTCCTGCCCTTCTGACCTGGACTGCAGAGAGAAACTATGGAGTCAATAAAGAGAAAGGGATAAGTGAGCTTTTACAGTGCTCCGACATGTCCTCCTCGCGCCCCCTGTCCTTCCTACACTGTTTATTTCTCCTCAAGATCATGAACTTGAACAGAGTCCTATTCTCAGGGGGACAAGAACATCAGTAAAATAGCTCTGGAAGAAGTGGGCCAACAATAGGGGCAATATATAGTTAAATACTTTTTTTGATTTGGGGCCATACAGACAAGTACAAGGCGTCAGGGGCCTCACAATAGACAATTTGTAGTTTTCACCCAGATACACAGCAAAACAATCTCTGTTTTTAGAAAGTTTAGCCGTTGTAATGTAACGTACAAGTACAAGTGAAACTTAAACCAAATACGTGAGTGTGTGGGTGTTCATTTCCGAGGGGATTTAAAACTTAAAAGTCAGAAAATGGATCGAAATTAAATCTAAATTAATTTCAAATACTAAATACTATGTTAAAGGATCTTTTTCTTTTGATAATTCTAACTAAAGCCACACAATAAATCTAAATTAAATTTAAGAATAAAATATGAAAACTTTTGAACTTTTATATCATGTGTGTGATCATATTTTACACATCTTGCTTTTCTAAGATACAAATTGAGGTTTATTTAATTAAATCAGTGGCCAAAACTACTGAACTACCAATGAGCCAATGCTGTCTATAGCTCATGTTTGTCAGTTGCTAACTACTAAAAGACACAACATGAAGACCATTTACTTCGACTAATTCTGTCTGGTTGAATCTGTCCCAGTGAAAAAGAACAAGCCATACAGGAAGTTATACATACTAATTTCATATGGTCAGTGTCAAAATAAAAGCGTGTGTTGTCTCTGGCAGAGCTCAGAGGCCCGGTGTATACTGGAGGAGCCGGTGGATTGGGCAGATGGCTTTGTGGTGGTGTACAACATCAGCGACCGCCCTTCCTTCATCAACGCCAAGAACATCCTGCGGCAGATTCGGGAGGCGCGCATGGACAACTGCAAAGGGTGAGAAGCACAATGAGGGTTGATTTATTATGAGTTGAACAGAGGCTGATGGGGAAACTCTGGTTGAGACTTGGTGGATGAAAGCAGCTGGTGTTCTGTAGTTTCTATTATTATACTATTTCCAGAGAGTGTGAGGCGCTCCATCACTGCAAAGCTGCATGAACTACAAAAAAATAGTTTTTCTACCTACCCTTCTATCTATCTATCTATCTATCTATCTATCTATCTATCTATCTATCTATCTATCTATCTATCTAAACCCTGGGAGAAAACAGAAGCAAACAGTACCAGTGCTCTGCTGTCTATGAAGCCGAACTGGGATCCTCATAGTCTTGAATTTGAGGAATGCTGGGAGTTAATGAGCGGTCCTGACAAACTGATGAATGATTCATAATGACGAGGGATTCATTATTTAACCCAGAGGCATTTAGTAGATGTGGTCTGCTGGAAAAATGGGCCAAACACATCCATCAGGCTGCCTGTCATGTGCCAGAGCTTCCTCGAAACTGAGTGAAGATATTTATTCAGTCAGTATGTGACCAGTGTGTCGATCAGTTATTCTCCATGGAGATGAAGACTGAACTCACTTGTGCTTGTGTGAGTAAATCAAATATAGATGGAAACAGAACCAGATTTTAGGGTGTTTTTAAGAATAATTTTTGGAGGTTTATAACAGTGGTGGAAGAAACACTCTTTTGTCAAAGTAAAGAAATTGCAATACTACAGTGTAGAAATACTCTGTTACAAGTAACAGTACTGCAAAAAAAGTCATTAAAGTAAAAGCACAAACATATGAGAATCAATAATTTAAGTAAAAGTTGTCATTTTGCAGAATGGCCCATTTCAGATTATTAATATTTGATTACAATTATTGATGCATTAATGTGTTCATCACTTTCATATATATATATATATATATGTATATGGGCGATCCATAATATGTTATTTATATGATATTATAATATAATAATATATTTGTTGAATATATTTTGTATTAGTAATCTGGATCTACAAAGTAAGATAAATACACTGCAGTAAAAAGTACAATATCTACTTCTGAATTGTAGTGGAGAAGAAGTATAAAGTAGCAGAAAATGGAAATACTCAAGTACCTCTACTTTAAGTGTAGTGGAGTAAATATACCTTCTTCCAGCAGATTTACAGGTCAAGATTTAAAAAGTTAAAAGGAAGTACAAATAGATGCATAGTATAAATAAGATAACTAAACTAAAACCATAATTCTGTATACATTATGAGTATCTGAGGCATTGAAATAAACAAATGCACATTGCATACCTTTTATCCTTCAGATAAGTATATCTAGTTAAGTCTGTATGACCATTTTTTAGTATTTGCTTCTCATAACACTTGGTTGAAGCTATACAATTAAGATCTCGTGTTTTTTAAGGGTGCATTGTTCCATTGAACGGATATATTCCAGATGTTTTGTGCATCATTATATAAAATTGACCCAGAATGAGATTTAGTGTCTTTTAAATCTTTGGATCTTGACTACAAAAATAAAATAAAAGTTCTGTGAGTTTGAACTCTGCTTCTCCAGACGACTCGTTGCAATAAAAAGTTTGATGAGGTTTAAAAGTAAAAAGTGATTTGCTTTCATCGCTCTTCTTCTCTGTTTTTAGGGAGGTGGAGGTTCCCGTGTGTCTGCTGGGAAACAAGCAGGACCTGTGTCACGCCCGGCAGGTGCGTGAGGACGAGGGCCGCTGCGTGGCCCAGGAGAGCCGCTGTCACTTCCAGGAGGTCTCGGCCGCCGAGAGCTACCAGGACATCGCCGGCCTCTTCACACAACTCATCCGGAAGGTGATGGAGCACCTGAAGTACAGGGCCGACCGGCGGCGCTACAGCGGCTCCAAGTCGATGGCCAAGCTCATCAACAACGTGTTCGGCAAGAGGAGGAAGTCAGTGTGAGGAAGTAAGAAAGAGAAGAAAGGGAACTGTTCATTCTGAGAACTGCTTCAGTACAAACATTAACCTCATGTTGCTCACACTGTGAGCAACATGCAAGAGTCCAAATTATACTTTTCTACAATCTTTGACAAGTTTTGTGCTTTTAGTTGCTTTAGTTTTTCCTAAGATATGTTTCCCTGCTTTGAGTTAAGACAAAGAGTTAAGCTATTTGGAAAAGGACTTATTATGTTGCTATGATTAAAGCAAAGCAGGATGTTGTTGACCTGGAGGTCAGAGGTCACAAAAGTACAGGAACATAAAAGGAAAAAGTTTGAAATCTGACTTTTCTCTTAAATTCAAATGTAAAACAAACAAACAAACACTCTTGTCACAACTTGTACACATAAACATCAAGAGTGGCTCCAAGTAGATTTTGCGTTTAAAAGGATCACATGTTGAAAAGGTTGGAAATCTTGACTCCAGAAGGTTATTGTTTATTATTTCAGTATCAATACCACTTTTTTATATCTTACTTTTGGGAGTATTAACATGAACAATTTTTCTATGAAATACTCTTTTTTAATGTAACCCTCCCCCCACCAACATGTTTAACATATAAGGACTACCTACAAGGACCCCAAGAATAAACTACTGTGTAGCAAAATGTGAATTTATTTCTCCCCAAATCAGGATTATTTGTGTAATTAATGCCATCTGAAGAATTATTTTAAAAATTATTTTAGGAAAGTCCGCCTACATAATAATGTTCTTTAAAATGCACCAATTATATAACACAAACGGACAACAACTATATGAAGAACAAAGAACAAATTGATTTATGAAAAACTGGAATGATAGAATGAAGCACCTGTGAAATTTGACAAAAAGTTGACCTTTGTGGTTTGTTATGTTAAAAGCCTTGCAAACCTGAAAAAAGCAATAAAAAGACACCACAACATAAATGCAAGTCTATAAAAATGCAAACGCATCACCTTTCGTTTTGAACCTGGACTTTGGAAGAGCCAGAACAAGGAGCTTTAAAAGTGATCAGTAAAATCTTAAAAACAATGATAAAACGAACAGGGGGCCAATAGAGTCATCTGTTAAAACCAGCTATTGCAACTACTTGGAGGCGATAGAGTGACTTTCGGTTGATCCCAGAAATATAAATGTGAGCGTAAATCTATTAAAGAATGATGCCCCAAACATGTGAATACAGTTCTCACAGACCACATCATCAATCAGAATGTAACTTATCATGCAGTGACAACTTTTACTCCTTATGAAAGCATGCTTTGATTCAGACTCAGTTTGTTACAACAGATATTCAGAAAATACTCTCAGAGCATCGTTCCCGGCTCGTTTACCGCTTTTCACATGAAACACTCTGGCTCGTATCAGATGTGGGAAGCTTTGATTGTCTGTAATCAGCTTCTCCTCAGTCTCTCACTCATCAGACATAACTGTTTATCATTAAAGGTAATCACAACACAGAGGAATGAAGAGTTCTGATGAGTTGTTGATTTGCTGGTGACGTTGAGAAGTTTTCCCGCCCTCATCACGGTGCCCTCGTCGTGAACTCACCGGTTACTAACCGTCGTCGCTGTCGGTTGTTACTTTAAGCATCTCCGTCTTTAGTTTTAAAACTGCCCTTCTGCTTCGTACAGGCGGCAGCCTCTGGTTCTGAAAAGTGAAGCCAATGCGGAAGTGAACTTGCAATCTTTCTAATGGCCAGTAGGGGGCGACACCTCTGGTTGTATAGAAGTCTATGAGAAAATGACTCTACTTCTCTCTTGATTTATTACCTCAGTAAACATTGTAAACATGAGTTTATGGTCTCAATCTCTAGTTTCAAGTCTTCTTCAATGCAGCATGATGTTCATTGAGTAAATTATGGTCCATTTAGAATAAAGTAGATGATAAAGCAGGGTATGTTTTAGGGAGGGGCTGCCTTATGATTGACAGGTCTCACCCAGGCTGGTCTCATCCATTTATTTTGCAAAGACTGTGTGCATATAACAATTGACACGTGTTGCTGGACATCTATAGGAATATGCACAAAAATGAGTACATTTTTTACATCATACGAACCGTTGCATGAGGATACGGCGTCTCTACTTCACTCCTCTAAAGTCCGATTATGGTCATTTCCGTTCACTGGTTGCAAAAAAACAAGATGGCGATGGCCAAAATGCCAAACTTAAAGCTTCAAAACGGCAGTTCACAAACCAGTCGGTGGCATCATGATGACTACGTCCACTTCTTATTTACAGTCTATGTGTTTAAAATGTGGAGATGTCTTCAGTTCAGAGTTGTTGCGCAGCCGGTTTATAATGTTTTAGGAGGGGAAATGTCAGTTTTGATGCATTTTATAATTCTTTTCATAGTAATGCTTCTTCCTGGAAGCCATAGTGTTTGTTTATTGTTGACTATACTGTTCATTGTAATACGTTATACTCAGTCTCTTATATTGCCAATTGATATATCATTTAAATACATTCACCTGTACAATAATGTTGCTATTAACCATTTAGTATGATATATTGTGTAAATAGTAATTGGTCAATTTAATAATTATTGATCTGAAAAATGTCTTGAACTTTTAAACTTCATGAAAAACACTAACGCACACCGATTAAGGGCATGAACTCATTCAGTGCTGTTGCTGTTGTGCTTCTTAAATCCAGTTATGTCACCATGATCCTGTAAAGAAAGAATGCACTACCCATCCTGACAAAATGAGTTCACGTATGCAACGTTTTATAGACGAATATCTCTTTTGTAAAAACTGTAAAAACATCGGCTGCTCCAGAGGAAATTAAAGTTAAACATTGCTTAATAAGATGCTGTTTTAGTTTAGCTTTAGTGCTGCTTCACTTTGAGCTCAACTTTAATTAAATGACCATGAGAGGAGGCGTTTCTCTAAAGCCTTCAGGAAAGAGGAATTTCCTGTGTGGAGCTTCTAAAAATAGCTGGTTTGGAGGCAGGAAAAGTGAGAAATGCACCATTATTACACTGATTTCTGGCCTCCGAAACAAATGCTCCTGAAGTATCCACTAGATGGCAGCACAAAGCACCATCATAATGTACTCTCCACCCCCCTTAATGATTTCCTGCTTATCTGATCTGAGCTATTACACACAGGATCAATTCAGAGCAGTAAAATGGAAAAAAAACTTTTTGAATCATTTATATCGACCACTTGTGACCCCTATGGAGGCATTTGTACATTTGTACAAGTATGTATGTGATAAAAAACAGGTATTTATCTATTTAACCTTTATTCAAACACAGAAGGAAGCAAAGGGAGACCTGGTCAAGACGGCAGCATAAAAAGTAACAAAACAATAAATGAAATACACAACAGATAAAACAATACAAAACCCTCCTGAAAGTAACACTGAAATAGTTCAGTATTCTCTTGTATGTTTGATGATATTAGATGTTTGTTGCCTTTACTCGTCGGTGAAGATAAACGACTAATTCTGAGCTCTATGGAATAAAGCCTCAAGCTTCTTTTACTTATTTGAAATCAACTCCATTCAAATCAGACAAAACACATTAAAGTGCCGACGGATGACAACTTGAAATCCTGCAGCTTATGCAAGTTAAATGAATCTTGTGTTTTTGATCAACTTGTCTCGCCTGATTGCTCAGTGCCTCTTTCACGCATCAAGTGGGGGATATTTATTTGGTGAAGAGCAGACAGGAAGCACTGCAGCCTCCTCTTGTTCATCATCATCCTCATCCTCATCAACATCTCTACAGGAGTCATTTTGGTAGTTGTTTGGAATCAGTGAATGAAGCAAACACTTTTCCTCAGTCACAGTTTCCACATTTAAATGTCCTTTTATGTGCAGCTTACATTATCTTGCATGCATTGCAAAGCTTTTTATGTTTTTAGCTTTTAAACCAATGACCCCTGAGATTCCTTTCTACTCTCTATAAAGTTCATGAAAGACATTTTCTCTTCATAAAAAAGAAAAAGAAAAATCCTTTGCCACACAGGGAAAGTCATGCATTTTACATTTACAGCTGCAGCAACAGCGGTTTGCTTTGAATAGATAGAGGAGCTCTGTCGCTGGAAGGAGCAGCCGTGGTTTTAGAGGAAAAGAAAAGAGCTCCACCTCCAGAGACTGAACCGAAAGTCTGAGGAAAGAAAGACATCACGTTGCCACCTGCTGAGTTTGACTGACATGTCATTTCTGGAGAGAGTGGCGGAGAAACACTGCTGACTTAATGACAAAGATGTTAGGAAAACACATGTCAAATAAAACGAGGAAAGTGTAAATCTGTAATGGTGCAAAAATGCTCGTCATATCAACTCTACTCTTCATCTTCTCCCCCCCTCCTCTTCTTCCCCGTCTGTCTCATTTTTGTGAGAGGGAAGAGGAGTGCAGACGGATGGAGACAGAACCTCCGAGCGTGGCCTTGTAGCTTCAGGTCAGTGATCTTATTCGGCCCCTGCGTGGAGGAAGAATTGGTTTTGGCTGGACCGAGGAAAACCATCTGAACCAAGGGGATTGGATGCTGCTGTGACACCGTCGAGAGCCAATCAGAGAGGCCATCGATCAGTTCCCCTTAATCTCACAGCTGGTGAGCACATCCCCACTCCAATCTAAACCTCTGCAGCTTAGTCAGACTGACAGGGGATTGGATGGCTTCCAATCCTACAACTGAAATGGATCCAAGCAAGAGCCACGTTCAACATCCCTTTCTGCGACCCGCAAAAATAAATTGTTGTTAAAGTTGCTTCCTTAAAATATGTGGAAACAATTTGTCAGTGTGGTACAAGGTAAAATAATAGTTTGTTTCTAATTCAAATCAACAAAAAAAAACAGGATACAGGTGAAATGATTCTACTAAAACGTATGTTTTCCTCCTATAACCTCAAGGAAAACATCATTTGAACACCAGCCCGTATGATTTGCTCGAGGGGACACTTTTCTTTTTCGATGCCGTGCACTGTGTCATGCTGCATGAGTGCACACAGTGATTGCTTGCTGGATGTATAATATATGCTGCATCTGAAGAGTTTTTTCTTTCTAAAAATGTGACATCCACTCCCTGAAAAATGTGATGCATCCTCTGTTAAAAGACACATAGAAGTGAAAAATTCAACATTTATTTTTACATCTGGTTTTATTAAACATTGATTGAATGTAAAGCTGCTTGTAATCCTTTTCATATGTTTTATGAATTGCCCGAGGTCTAGTCAGTGTCCTGCAGTCTCCTGTTACACTAAATGTGATGTCCTGCTGTCTGTGCACTGAATACTGCTTTGTAAGATGTTGGTATCCTCTTGCAGTGACGCTGCCAAAAACTCTGCAAATGAAGTGAATCTGATAAAGAGCTCGATATCACAGAGATGCCCTCTAAAGCTCTTGTAGTCGGTCGCCGAATCAGAGCAGCTCCTGATGTCACAGCAGGAACAGCACATGGTGTAAATAATGAAATGAACGATGGCTGAATTCTATTTAGCTGATTCAGTTTCTGGGTTCCTCCTCACTGTCCCACTGTCATGACACACAGGGACACTTGAAATGTAATATTGTTTTTAGTTAGACCTGTGCTTTTCTACTATAGCAAGTCAAAATGTCTGCTGTGATCGAGGCCTATAGAGAGCCAAAGTGAAACCCAGGCAGCAATCTCCGGTTCTGAAAAGTGAAGCCAATGCAGAAATGTCATAAACTCTCTAATGTCCATCAGGGGGCGACTCCTCTGGTCTATGAGAAAATGACTCTACTTCTCACTTGATTTATTACCTCAGTAAACATTGTAAACATGAGTTTATGGTCTCAGTCTCTAGTTTCAATACAGCATGATGTTCATTTAGTAAATTATGGTCCATTTAGTGTCAAATAGTCCATAAAGCAGAGTATGCTTTAGGGTGTGGGGGGGGCTGCCTGATTGACAGGTCGCTGCCATTACCAGATCCGTATACGGCGTCTCTCATATCGCCACTTCTGGTCATTGGTTGCAAAAAAACCAAGATGGCGACGGCCAAAATGGCAAACTTGTGACTTCAAAATTGTAGTCTATAAATCAATGTTAACACTACGTTTTGTGAGTGCTACATACATTATGTTTATATAATGATGGTATTTTCTTGAAAAACAATCACATGTTATTTAATGAATAATAGTAATAGTTTTTAGCGACCTTTAACAAATACCATTTCCATAAGCCAACTGCTGTACAACAGTTTCCCTCAGGATAAATAAAGTTCCATCTTAACTTAGATTGCTCCGAGAACTCTGATATATCAGAGTTAGAGTTTAATAATGTGGAAATCCTAAAAAAAACAAAAACAAACATAGACATCAGCCTTCTGGTCAACATAATTAAACACAAATTTAACGTCAATAGTTATATATGCAGAGTGTTTTTAATCCCAACATGAGGAAGTACAACCTTCTTGAGTCTACCATCCATCCCAACTGCCCAATAAAACCACAAAGAAGCTCCACTGGTTAATCTGAGTATCACATGCCTTGCTCGAAGGCACCACAGCAACATGTAAACACTTTGTTTTCTTCCCCAGATTTTCCCAGCCAGCCGTGGGATCATAACAAATAATCTTCTCCCTGGTGGTCGGACCTCTTGGGAGTTCAGGTGCAGCTCTATCACAATCAGAGAAACCTCCCTGGGGAAGCACATTGCTAGTGAAGCTAATCTGAAAATGTTATTATTTCTGTCTTCCTGAAGATGTTACGAGGCCTTGTTAGTCTCTGTTTGGTGCCAGACTCAAAAATGTGATATTTTCACAAACTCCTGTATTTGTTTTGGCCACGGTTTCTTTGATTCCTTATCTATTCTTCTATTTTTCTGCAAAAGATATTTCATATCAGTGCTTCATCATGTGATGCTTGCTTCCCATCAATTGACTGACAGAGCTTGGCACTTCATCATTGACCTTACTAAACACGGGGTCCACGGAGACTGCTGTTCGTGTCCTGTGTGAGCACACATTACGTTGTTACGTTACCTTGTTACGGTACGTTGTTACGGTACGTTGTTACGTTACACTGTTACGTTACCTTGTTACGGTACGTTGTTATATTACTTTGTTACACTATTATTTTAACACAAACCGTGATGTTTTTTCTCACCTTAACCAAGTAGTATTGTTGCCTGAACATAACCAGTCCTTTCACGTTAGCCATGCGTCATTGTACAATTCTGCAAGCGTGATATAAGGCTGAATCAGATTTTGTTCACAGCAAGAAATGTAAGAAATTCTGAGAAAAGGGTAACAAGTGCTAGACAATCAAAGGCAGAGTAGGGCCGGTCTTTGCAGAATGCAGACGGGGGGAAAAATGAATTAAACTCCCGTAAAAATAACAAGGGATCCGCTGACAATGGTAGAGAGCTTATGTGGCATGCCGATGTGAAGGCACTTCAACGTTTCCCAAAAATGATCTTGGACACTTATTGCTAGTGTGCCATTGGTTAAGCTACCACATGCCAATGGACGCACACGTCTAAGTTTGCCTACTCCTGGTCTAGCAAAAAGAGAAAAAATCTAAATAAGGCATGTGTTGGAAAATGATGGAAATGTAAAGTAAACATAGATGGTAGTAAATGGTGTAAGTAACACAGTTTTTCTCTGTCCTGTCTGTCTAGAAGCAGGAGTTCTGTGGTTTTATATGCAAAACCACCGGCCTTGCTGCCACAAGCTGCAGCGGTTCTCTTGTATTCCTCCTCTAAATTCAGCTGTTATGTATGAAATGTGCTGTGTGGCCTCTCATGGCATTATATCTGACAAACAGCCCTTCCACACAAAAAACACTGCCTAAATTTGTCTCTGCCCTTTTCACACAGAGGACATGATGGCGAGGCAAGCCACAGCAGATGGCTCAAAAAAAAGAAAAAGAAAAGAAGAAGGTTTCCTATTTTCACAGACTGCTAATTAGAGCTCAAACCACAGCTCACCTTTAATGTCAGCCACAGACTGCTTTTAGCACAATTACCCTAATGGGGTCCGGGCCTGTGAATAGCCTGTAATGTTTAGGCCGAGGCCAGGCATTGCATTAGAGTTTACGCATGTCAAAATAAAGGACAAGAGGGGTCTAATGCAGCGCAGATCCATTTATCACCACAGCCGACTGAGGACGAGACTTCAACCATGATTACCCAGAGAAACTATTTAATTAGATGCATTAATAATTGAACTAATTAGCTCCCATGTGTCTCGCAAATGAAGAGAGAACCTGGAGCTTCACGTGCACCTCATCAACTGATTAATTAGTCGGTTGATCGTTAGCTGTCTTGACGGCCTATATGCGATCAGATGAGAGGGCGGATAATGAGGGAATTGTCGGTCGATGGTGCTGGTTAATTAGTGTGACCTGATCCAGGGACCATGTTAGAACAGTTGTTTATGCCACAGCTTCTAATGAGGAGGATTTAGGCCCGGGTGATCTGTTTGGAAAGCAGACTGCAGTGTTGTTTATGGCCTTGAAACCCCCCCCCCAATGAAAATCACTATAATGTTTCAATAATCTATCCGCAGGGACAAATGATGCGTCTGTGGTGCTCAAGATTAACTTTAAATAATGACCTTAACATACTTCGTGGTATTTTGATTCCTAAATCCTCAATATAGTGACGTACAGCAGGTCTGGGACTCAACAGTGAGTTCCAAGGCTATTTAGATTTCATGCTATTCATATGATATTCTAATAATACTACAAGGACTTGGTGGTCTGTGGTATGTTTATTATAGAACTTTATAGCTGGTTTCATCTGCGGTATTCTTATAATTTTTAGGATTTGTAGCATCATAGCTCTACTATAAGTCATAGGCCTGGTAGACAGTGTTGGAAGAAGTATTCAGGTCTTTTGCTGAAGTAAAAGTAACAACACCACAGAGTCAAAATATTCTGGTTATGTAAAAGTTCTGCATTCAAAATCATACACAATTAAAAGTACAAAAGTATTTGTATCAAAATAAACTTTAAGTACCAAAAGTATTTGTATAAATTATATATCAATTATTTATACTTTGTATCAATTTTCAGAATATGAACAGTAAGTAGTAATCAAATAAATGTGGTGGAGTAAAAAGTAAAATTTTTGTCGCAGAGTAGTACAAAGTAGCATAAAATGGAAATACTCAAGTAAAGTACTGTCACAACATGACTGGTTCAGGAAATGGTTCAGATCTCGAGAGTCGAGTGACTAAAGACACTAACGACTCACATGACTAATAACCAAATGTCTTCTTTTTTTGTTTAGCATGGGACACAAACAGCAGTCTCCCAGAGGGGCAGCTTTAGCAAGTAAACACTGACATCTGATGAATGCGCCAGCGTTAGCAGGTGCCTTTCTCTGCTGTCGTCCTTTAATTATGCCACCGTGGAGCTCTCAAAGGAGAAAATAGTTTTCGGCTCAAATGTAGTGCCACTGCTACAGGAAGACTCTGCAAACACAGCAGCTGCAGTGGCAAAGGGAAATGGGAAAACATCTTATGAGGCAGCTGTCGATGAGCATCTCCCGTCCCTTGCAATGCTACTTGATCCTATAGGTTCAAAGCCATAAGAAAAGGCCAACATCTGAGTGTGCTGCCATAATTAGGTCTGCTCAAACCCTCCAATCACCATCAGGACAGTCATCAGCATCACAGAATTTCATTTTGGGGTTTGAGGGTCAATTTCGATTCATTACTACACTCACTAACGAGGTCTGTGTATACTTCTGGACGACAGCGGGATGCATACACATGAGAGGCCAGTGTAACCGTCACCCGGTGTGTTTATTTGAAGACAACAAGCAGTTCAGAACGGTTTTGTTAAGATTGTAGGGTGGGAAAAAACAACATACAAGTATGAAAGTGAAAAACAAAACAAACTTTTAAAAAGGAAACAAAAGGCTATTCCTCAGTCAACAAACAAAGTTAGGCTGGGCCCTTGGCCATTGAGCAGCAACAACCTGTCTGCACGTCAACTGAACTGCTTTTAAACAGAAAGCTCCTCCTACAGACACACCAAAGTTAGTCCATAATCTCGCGAGAATCCAGCTGCCGTGCAAGGTAATGCCTTTTATCTTATTTTGTAATACTCTAAGTGTGTATTCTTACCCTCATCTAAGCTGGTATTACTTTTGTCACAAAGAGAAAAAAAGACACAAGTGCACAAGAATAAACTGACTATATGTCACACACACATATAAACTGGCGCGCACGCGGATGTGAACGTGCTCTGTAAAAGGCGCAGCATCTGCCGTGCGTAAAAGCCGGTGCTTTGACTACAGGGCGCCCTGGAGATAATTGGTGTCCTTGGAGTTGAATAAGCTCATTCTAAAACACCTCAGGCCCGGGCTGTCCTGGTCTGTGACTGTCTATTGAATAATTGATTCAGAGAGGGAGGGGGCGGTTACTATCAGATCTGAGCATAATGACTTTATATAATTAGCACGCAGCGTTGGAAAAAAAACAACCCATTTGAGTGTGGGAGTATTTTTTTTGCAGAGAGAGAGCGCGAGAGAGAGCGAGAGAGAGAGAGCGTGCGCGAGAGAGAGAGAGAGAGAGAGAGAGAGAGAGCGAGAGAGAGAGAGCGCGAGAGAGAGAGAGAGAGAGAGAGAGAGAGAGAGAGAGAGAGAG